GCCTTTATTTATAATAAACTTTTGCTTAGTACTTATTATAATCATTATATCCCTTATATCTATTAAAATGATTAAATTGATTATAACAAATAAAACTATTATATCTTCTATGACTATTAAATTGGTTTTAACCATTATCTCCATTATATTAACTATCTGGGATATATTTAATTTCTTCAATATATTCAATATATCTCCGGCAACTCCTTTTTAAGTAATAGATCGTCATAACCGCATCAACGTGAGCGGGTGCAGCAATTTCCGATTCACGATTTCCGGACCTCACAATATAAATAAACTATAGCAATTTGTTAAATTACTTTAGCTATGTAGTTTTTAACAACCCAGAAAAATATAAATTATTTATCTCATTGCTAATAGTGATTTAACTTGTAAATCTAATAAATTGTTTCGTTGTATATGCCTATTAATATTTTACAAATTCACGAATCACAATTTTTATTGAATATCGTATAATAAACAAATTTTATCTATGTATGTGAAGTACACAACAAAAATCTGCTAACTATTTTTTTAGTTCACTAACCCTGTTTGCATTTCGTATGTAATTCACGTGCACAAAAAAGTGCATTCAAACTTAATCGTATTCGCTCTAAAGAATGAATATTATAGTTGAAACAAACCAACCTCGAAAAATTTATAAACATTTAAACTATATAGCTAGTTAAAAAGATATTCAAAACGTTAAACTTATTTTCTTGTATTTTGCATAATATAAATACATATTTAACAGGAATCAGAATCTGATAACTTAAATTTATTTTTTTGTATTTTGCATGATATAACTGCTGCATTTTATGGACGATGATGATTGGTTGGTAACCCAGCCGGTATGGCTGGGTTACCGAACGATCAGAAGATAACATAAAATACAGCAGTTATTGCATACGGAGCATGCAATAACGGTTTATTTTATGCTTTACTATCTCAGATTTATGAAATAGATCAATTATTTTATCATTTAAAAATGCCATAAAATAATTGATTTATTTTATAAACTCATTATAGTAAAGTATTAAATAAAAATACATATTTAACAGGAAATCAGAATCTGATAACAGTCCGAAGCAAATAAAATATTTTTTTATTTATAAGCTATTATTTTAGCGTAACTCTACAATTAATATTTTTAATATAAATCATATTTGCAATAATTTGTAGCATAACTAAACTTTATACTTTTTTTTAAAATAGTCTTTAGCTCAGTGTCGGTAATGTTACTGGATTTGCAATAGCTTCATCCTGGATTACAGCAAATTTAAAAAAAAAACCGCAAAACCCGTATATTACTTGTTACACTGACTGAGATCATCACGGGAATCTTCATTTCTTGATTTTCATTGGTTTATTCCGACAAATATTGCATGAACTCGCTTTAGACAATTAATAATATAAACTTTTGTATTAATCGAAAGATAATATAATTACTTTTAAAATTTCTATAATAATAAAATTCTAAGACCGTCCGTTTTATAATTAATATTATAGGCAATTTTAGTCCCATGATCAGTGTTACCTATACTAACTACCCCAGCATCGCTGTCAAAACAACTACCGCAGTATCGCCACCAAAAAGTTGCAGTCACATGACAATTTTGTGGCGCAAACGCAAAAGTTTCAAAGTTGATATACACCCAAATCGGGGTTACGTTCTTGATGCATTACTGTATTATGCGTGATCGCCAGTGTGACAAATAATAAAATCACATTTTTAGATTATTTGAGTGCATGAGAGTGAAAACCTGAAAGTGAATTATTATGGCGAATTTGACCCCTGAGGACAATCAGTGTTCTAGCAGTTTCGGTAACACAATACGATAAGATACATCTTTGTATCTAATGCTTATTTTATATTATTTTGTATTCTTAATTTACATCACAACTATATTAATTCATTCTTTCTTTTTTTTATTTTGTTTTGTTGTGCCTCTTTTGCACGGGCCCTTTTCTGATTTCCAACCCTTTCAATTAAGTCATTGCTTGGTTTTGAGCAAAATTTGTCACGGAAAACAATAGGACAATATGGGCGAATATTGTTCCAAAGGTCAACTTGTTTTTCTTCAGAAAGACTTTTTGGCGCAAGCTCTTGAGGATTTAGACTTCTAGCATTGGCATTCGGTTTTAATAATTGGAATTCATCCCATGGATCAGTAGTTTTGATCTTAGCTTTCATTATACCGGGATTTTCACTGCTGAACTGAAAAAAATGGTACTTTTGAATTGCTGGAGGTTTACGGTACAATAAGCTAAGTGCAGAAGTCCAATCACAGAATAGTCCTATTTGATCTTCTAAGCTTACAGAAAAATTATTACTCGCACTCCTATTTATTACTTCAACTAACTGGTCAATGCACCAAACCTCTGATCTGGCATACTCTCTTTTAGTATTACCAAATCCTCGGTCAACAGAATTTCGAGTATGCCCTTTGATCTGGAAACAATATTCGATTTTTTGAAATATTTGGGTGTGACAGGCCCATAGGAAATACCATAGAAGACACGAGTTTTTATTTTGTCCACCACAATTATCCGCCCATAATCTAATTTCATTTACTTTACCCACAACAGAAGTTAAAAATAGATGCACCATAGATGTAACTTCGTTGGCCCCTTTTGCTGCTTTTGCTTCTGTATAAAGAAAATGCCAATGACGGTCAATACCTTCTTCCACTAATCCAAATTGGTGCACTTTTAACAATGACGAATAATACCACTTTCCTGGTTGTTGAGGGTCATGAGGTATCTCAACGTTTTGAGCGAAGTCAAAAGACAAAACACGAAATGCAGATCGATTAGACTCTTTTGCCATTTGAATATCATTTTTATATGCTTCCCTCATAGCACGATAATCATATATATGCGTGGCAAATTGGTCATCAAGGGTTTCATTTACATTACTGCTTTCTTTTAATGCACGTTTAAACAAGGTACATTCATCGCATACATCTTTAGATGGTTTTCTAATAACAATCTTACTTAACTCTAGATCGTCCTTCCATATTTTTTGAAAGCTCCAGCTACTTACAAGATTATCTGGATGCATTAGGTTATAGAAGACTAAAAGCTGATTATAGGAATAGTGAGATGGAAGAAGGACAAGATCATGCTTTTCATATTGTACTGTTATTTGTCCATCTGTCTTTTTTCGTGTATATTTTCGAACAGCTAGTGCCTCACCGTGTTGATTACCAGTTAATCTAATAAACGATTTTATTTTATTAACTGTTTCAACATGTAATTTAATGACAGGTGAACGGCCAGCATTTCCATGAAGTGGGGGAAGCATAGATTTTTTTTCTTGAACCCATCCACGAAAACGATAGAAAGCATCTTTACCACATAGCCAAAATGTTTGAAAAAAAAGACTACAAACTTCACCGAAGTATGGTAGCTGATACTTGGTATTGAAAGGTCTTTTGTGTGGCCCTTTATCAGATGAAAACATAAGTATTGTCATTGTATAATGTCGTTGCTCTTTGCTCATCTTAATACTTTCTAATGCTAAAGATTGTAACAGGTCTGACGAAATTTTTTTACTACATTTCTTTTTACATGAGCAACATGACTTAAGCTTGTTAACCAAGTTATCTCGATGTTTTTCAATAACTTCCTTGGATTCTTCATCCACAGTTTCTTCACCATTCGAATCTGATTTTGATACAAATTGAATATTTGATATTTCCTTATCATCGTATTCTATTTCATCATCATCATTATCATCATATTCTGTTCTCTCTTTATCATGCTCTATTTCATGAGGAATCGGGGTAAGAGCAGCAAAAGTTTCAAAAAAATGATCCAAATCCTCTGGGATTTCCATTTATAATTAAAAAAAGTCAAACAACAAAAAAAAAAATTAATCGATAATTATTTAACAATTTAGGCGTTATGGATTTTAGAAAATTACAGTTGCAATGTGAAAAATTTTTTTATGTAAGTATATAATTTGGGATTCTTCTTTTATATATCTATTTTTACATACAATCGCCACTGTTTTCACTAATTTATTTTACCATATTTTCGATTAATTTACACTTAAAATTCTATATAAATAATTGAAAGGCGTTCTCAAGCATCTCTATCAATGAACTATATAAAGAGTCTTATTCAGGTAGGCTAATCAGATTCTTTATTATGTCCATTGAGGTGCATGAGAACGTCTTAAGTCATAAAATTATAGCTGATCAGAAAGTATTTGATTATCAAATGCAGTAAAACCTCCATAAGTGCACGCCCTTGGGACCGAACTTTAATGACATGCACTTAAAGAACAATAAGAAAAAGTGCATTTATGGAGGTCATGTACAGAGGGTGTGCACTTATAGAGGGTGCACTTATGGAGGTTTCACTGTATTTAAAGAATTTGCAGAGAAGTTTTATGATATTTTGAGTTTTTATTGAATATATTTTGCTTGGAAAGCATGAGACCGAGGATCGTTTTTGCCACTACTAATCCACCTGGATGATTAGAAAGTCTATTAAATTAATAGTTAAAGCGTAGTATAGAGTATGTAATTGTTGAAATCGAATAAATAGAAAATGTAAATAGAGAAAATTCATTAGTCTCTTTGATCGGAAAAGTAATAAAAGCGTTTTTAAAGTAAATACTTATGTGTTAAGTAGTGTGGTGTGTGCATTGTTATTAAAGAAAGAGTGTGTCTTAAGTGCCAAGCAAGACCCGAATTAATTAAAGCCGTCTAAGGTAGATTGTAGTCGTTTTGGCAATTGCTTAACTCTTTGACAGTAATGCTTGAGCGATCTTTATCAATGGTAAATTTT